TAATTCTTATTTGGCTTAGCTAAATGACTTGCAAATTTACAGGCATGTACTTCAGGTCATAAAGAGCTCATAAAAAACAATTCAGAAATAAACAATTATTTTTAGGCCCCAAAATAATTTTTGGCGGGCCCCGAACGCCGTCGGGTTCGGACCCCGTACGAGACCCCGAGAGCCCGAACGTACAGAGGTCCGCCCGGGGGCCTCCATACGTATATATATATATATATATATATATATATATATATACAGGGTTACCTGCCCAAACGTTCGGGGGGCCCCGGGCTGGCCCCCGAACGTTCAGGCGTTCGGGGTCCTGTTCGGGGGCCGAACACCTCCACGTTCGGCCCCCGCCAAAAATATTTTCGGGGCTTAAAAATAAGTTTTTTTTCTGTATGTTTTTTTAAGATTTCTCTATGATGTAACCTACACGCCTATAAATTTTGAAGCCATTCTGCTAAGCCAAAAGAACATTAAAAATCGTCAAAGATGGGGGTGTCAAAACGTGCTCGCCCACTCACTATTTTGCTTTTTTTCCACTTTTAACGTTTTGTTTTCACTTTATTTCAGGGCCTAAAAAAATTATTATTTTTTGAAAAAACAGTAATGAGTTATTGATTATGTAAACTACATATCTGTAAATGTTCAGGGCATTTGTCAATGCAAAAAAATAATGAAAAATCGGCAAAGATGGCGGTGTCGAAAAGGTGCTGGCACACTTACTCTTTTTAATTCTCTTTTTATTTTTTCTTATTTTTATCGTAGTATTTAGTTTCTGTATTTGATTTTTAATTCAAATTTGGTAAAGAATTTGGATGTAGTTCCCGGGCAAATGTTTTTTAGTTTAGGTTTTTCCATAACATATTTGTTTTGTGGAATTTTTGGAAAACTTTGTTTTTTTTTTGTTTTTTTGGGGGAGGGTCCGCGTTCGGTCAGAACGGCCAAACGCCTTCCGAATGAATGGGACCCCTTGCGGATGCGTTCGGCCGTTCAGGCCGAACACGAACCCCAAAAAAAAAAAAAAAAAAAAAAAAAATCTTTAATTAAATTAAAAAAAAAGATATGTTATGGAAAAAAATCAATTAAACAAGATTTGCCCGAGCATAACATTCAAATTCTTTACCAAATTTGAAATAAAAAATAAAATACGAAAAACACATACTAATAATAAAAATAACAAAAAACAAAAAACAAATTAAATTTAGTGAGTGCAAGAGCACGTTTTCGACACCGTCATCTTTGGCGATTTTTTTTTTTTTTTTTTTTGGCATAGCTAAATGCTCTGAAAATTTATAGATGTGTACTGCACAGCATGCAAAACCCACTAAAAAAGTTTCAAAAAATAATAAAATTGTTAAGACCCCGAACTGAAGTGAAAACAAAAAGTAAAAAGTGAAAAGACACGTGGGCGAGCACGTTTTGACACCGCCATCTTTGGAGATTTTTAATTTCTATTTGGCTTACCCAAATGACTTGAAACTTTATAGGCAGGTACCTTATGTCATAGAGAACGCACAAAAAATAATTACGAAAATAATAATTATTTTTTGGTCCCAAAATAATTTTTGGCGGGGGCCGAACGCTGGCGAGCTCGGGCCCCATACGAGACCCCGAACGCCCGTACGTACGGAGGTTGGCCCGGGGACCTCCGTACGTACGGGCTGGTGACGCTGTATGTATATACATAAGTATGTATATATATATATATATTAACCATAAGTACCTTTGCCGCGTGGGAAAATAGCGGGCCTTCAGAGGGCCTCCGACGATTTCGGAGGCCGAAACGAAACGACTTTCACCGATCATATTTATCAATGGCAGTCATCGTCGGGCCCGACCTTCAAAATTTTAGTTGTTTGGGAAAAATGCCATTTTTTCCTATTTTCCCAACACTCGCGGAGGTACTCGTTGTTTAAAATCACAACAAGATCTGTAAACTATTTAATTTTCATATTTTTTCACTTTTTATTTTCAGTGCAAAAGTACATTAAAACTTAAGTTGTTTTCAGTTAGCCCACATATATAAGTGTGACAGAAATGAGAATACACTGAATCAGTTTAGTGATTATTTCACTATTTTTTTTTTTTTTAGGCTACCAGAGTCGCCCGGAATCCCTTGTGCGACCTATAAAAATATATATATATATAGATAGATAGATATTATTTATATATATATTATATATATGCAGGCAGGGTCACCAGCCCGTACGTACGGAGGTCCCCGGGAAGACCTCCGTACGTACGGGCGTTCGGGGTCCCGTACGAGGTCCGAACCCGATGGCGTTCGACCCCGCCAAAAATTATTTCGGGGCCTAAAAGTATGAATTTGTTTCTAATATGTTTTTTGTGGGTTCTCTATGACGTGAGGTACATGCCTGTAAATTTTCAAGTCATTTGGCTAACCCCAATCAGAATTAAAAATCACCAAAGATGGCGGTGTCAAAACGTGCTCGCCCACGTATTTTTTCACTTTTTACTTTTTGTTTTCACTGTAGTTCGGGGTCTAAACAATTTTATTATTTTTTGAAACTTTTTGAGTGGGTTTAGTTTTATGTGAAGTACACATTTGTAAATTTTCAGGAAATTTAGCTATTCCAAAAAAAAATAAAAAATCGCCAAAGATGGCGGTATCGAAAACATGCTCGCTCACTCACTAAATTTAATTCTTTTTTTATTTTTATTTATTTTTATTATTAGTTTTTTTTTTTTCGTATTTTATTTTTATTTCAAATTTGGTAAGGAATTCGGATGTAGCTCAAGCAAATCTTGTTTAATTTATTTTTCTCCATAACATTTTTTTTTTTTCAGATATTTTAAATGACTTTGTTTTTTTTGTTTTTTCTATTTTTTTGTCCGCGTTCGGCCCGAACGGCCGAACGCATCCCCAAGGGGTCCCATACGTTCGGGCGTTCGGGTACGGGTGTTCGGCCCGTCCCAAACGCCGGTTACCCTGTATATAGGGTTGTCGGCACTCGGGACGGGCCGAACGCCTGAAGGCTCGGGACCCTGTGTCGACTCGTTCGGTCGGTCGAACCTAAAAAAAAAGCTGAACAACATTTGCCCTTGTATTACATTCAATTTTTTGGCCAAATTTGAAATGAAAATCAAATACGAAAAATAAATAATATAATAAAAATTAAAAAAACTAAAACGAAAATAAAATTATTGAGTGGGCAGGCAAATTTTTTACACCGCCATCTTTGGTGATTTTTTATTTTTTATTTTTTTTAGACAAATGTCATTAAAATTAAAATATGTGTATCTTACACAATAGAGAACATACGAATAAGGTTTGAAAAATAATCTTTTTTTTCACGCTTCGAAATAAAGGAAAAACAAAAAACGAAAAGAGAAAAAAAAAACAAAATAGTGAGTGGGCAAGCAAATTTTGACACCACCATCTTTGCCAATTTTTCATTATGGTTTGGCTCAACGGAATGCTTTCAAAATTTAGAGGAAGATACCTTACATTATAGAAAACTAAAAACTAAACAGTTCAAAATATATATATATATATATATATATATATCGTCAAATAGAACTGCCCGGTAAACCGTATGCAAAGAGGGAGAAGAGGACAACAAACGAGGGGCTGTGACAAACTGTTTCGTCAGAGTTTCACCGACTCATCAGGAGGCTGAACCCTATATATATATATATTTATATATATATTTATATATATATATATTTATAGGTGTTAGAATAATGTTTTGCGCGGGCCCCGTACGGGTACGGGGACCCAAACGCCAGAACGTTGGACGGTCAACTTAGGGGCCTCCATATATGTATATATATTATATTATTTATATAAATTATATATATATTTTTATATATATTATATTTATTATATATCTAGGCTACCAGAGTGGCCCGGGGTCACTTGCCCGGCCGGGCCAAAAAATAAAAATAAATAAAAATAAAAATAAATATTTTTATATTTTGTTTTTTATTTTAAAGTTGGTGAAAATTTTTGATGTGACCCTAAGGCAAATGTTGTTCAATTTATTTTTCTGCATAACATAGTTTGTTTTTGGATTTTTTTTTTTTTTTTTTTTTTTTTTTTTTTTTTGGGGACCTTCCTTGGTCCTTGCACGGATCAGGGCCAGGGACTTGTTGTTTGCAGTAGTGTGTAAGGGACAGAGACATGATGATCATTGTAGTAGGAGTATGCACCCGATGTTTGCAGTAATGAGGGAGGAGTAATTCGGCTCTGAGGTTAGGGATCTATTTGTTTGTAATAAGTATGTAAGGGACAGGGACCTGTTGTGTACACTAGTGTGTCAGGGACAGGGACATGATGATCATTGTAATAGGAGTATGCACCCGATGTTTGCAGTAATGTAGGAGGGCTGTTTTGATAACTTGATTGTTTGGGTTTGGCCTGGTTCGTTTTGAGCCCCTTGAAGTACCGGTACCCGTTTGAGGGTCTGTTTCCCCGGTATCACGGTAGGATTGTAGCTTCCGAAGTGCTCGGAACCGACCCGGGTACCTGATCTCAAGTTTTTGTCCCTGGACATTGGGACTTTTGTTTTTTGTTTTTTAGCGGAGTCTCGAAGGCGCAAAGATTGCTAGTAGCCTCGGGACGGATCGGCTTTTTCAAGTGTTGTGTGGTTTGACGTTGGCTGTAGGAACATAAATACGAAGCACTGTAGGTTATTACTCCTCTGACAGGACGTAGCTGCCTCATGGCGCTACGCAGTACAAGTTTTGGGATTGTGGATGAACGGTGAAGTGTGGGGACGTGGTGAGAAGGAACCCCTGATGAGACAGCGGCGGCTGTCGAAACGCGTCGGGGTCGCATCTTTCCTGTTCTGTCTTTCCTGTTCTGAACTTCAATGACTTACCGCTTTGGTATCTGTCAACTCTGTCTACTGCTGACGAATCCGTCAACTTTGTCGATTGTTGACGAACTGTGTGATGTGTATGTGTAATCAACCTGTTATTGCGCGTGTGAACACTTATGGAGTCGCTTGTCGGAGGGAGTGAACACGTTATCGTGTATACGACTTTGTGACGAGTGACGACGGTCGTGCACGAGGAGGAGTCGGCCCATGGATCGGAGGTGCACCATGTCGAGTGAACCACGTGAAAACCAAGGACAGGAAAGTGGTGGGGATCGGCGCGGACAGTGCGAACCCATCAAATGCTTCACCTGCGGTGAGGAAGGACATTATGCGAATCAGTGTCGCAATCCTAAGTCAGGATGGCGCGGAGCGAGAGCCTCTACGTCTTCAAACTCCCGGGGCTATCGCTCGTATTCCTCAAGGAAGCAATACAGGGGATCGAGCTCGGAAGATCGGGAGGTTCAATCACAGATCAAGGAGTTCGGCCGAAACTTGGAATCGATGCGTGAGTTCATCGAGGCTCAGCAAGCTGCGAAGGAAGAGCAGCTACGACGAAAGAATGAGAAGAAAGAAGTTGAGAACCGTGAGAGGGAGGCTGCGGAGGTGAGGGCGAAGAAGGTCGGGAAGAAAGCCGAGAAGACCCGTTTGGAAGAAGAAAGGGTCGCCGCCATGAAGAAAGATATGGATGTGCATGTGAAACTATCGGTGAAGGAGGCCATGAAGGAAGCGTGGCGTGACTCAGATCTGCGTGATGCTTTGATGGCTGCCAAAGTGGGGGAGAAGAAGAAGGGCAAGCAGAAGGTTAGTTTCACTAGCGACAACGAATTTTCCGAATATGAGTACGTAAGTAGTGGGACGGAGGAGATTAGAGAGCATACGGGGAACTTGTCAATCAACGAGAAGAGGAAGAGGGGGCCTGAGCCTGTGTTCGAAGACAGTCCACCCATGGAACTGCCTCCGAAGCACACACCTAAGCGTACTCTGAAGCGCGGAACAACCAAGACTTTGAAGATGACCCCGATTGGGGCACGATCCAAGAAGAAGACTAAAGTTCGGCTATCACCTGCTATCAAGGAGAAGCTTGCATCCGCTGTGAAGGTGAAGATCCCGACGAGCATTGGCACTGTTGGCCGCTACAAATTTCGAGAGGCCGTGATGAAGCAGATTAAGCACCACGATGCTATTACACTGCAGAATTTGTGTATTGACGCTGGCATCCCGTACAATGGGAAAGTCGAGGCCATTTTTGACCTCGCGGATCACCAGGCAGACATTGCATACGGTCCGGAAGGCGAAGATCCCGAGGACACCAACGAACCGATGGACGACGACGCAGTCGGGACCTCCAAGAATGTCGATGAAGCTGAGGTAGACGAGAACTAATTCAGCTATGGTATCACCGAGTATGGGAAGCTTTGTGGTATTTTGGTGGATTTACGTGGTAAGTTGGGGAGGTATGACCGTAAGATCGAGAGGTTTCTGCGTTTGGTAGTAGTACGTTTGTCCATTGCGGGATGTGTCCGATGGAATTGGAAATGTGTCGCGGCCTGGCTGCGATTATATGAAACCTTTGGCTTGGGATTTCTTGATCGTACTAATGTCATTTATATTGCGGTCTCACCCTACTGTCGCTCGCAGTATGTCATCAAGACTTGCAGAGATGTAGACACTCGATGGGCCGAGCACTTGTATGCCTGCAAAGCGAAGAAGCGAACGCACTTCTACAGATGGATGAACTGTTACGGTGCTAAGAACTACGTGTTAATCCCGGTTGATGTGAGTGAAGGAAGGGATTTGACTGACCTGGAATCCGTTTACATTAAGCAGTGGTCTCCCGTCCTGAATACATCGGGCTTTCAGAGAAAGGGTAGAGGAAAGGGTCTCGAACCAGGAAGGGTGTGAGGGAGACGCACTCCAGTAGATCGAAGACGGAGGTTGGGACCCACATAGTATCCCCCATTCGATTTAGCACCCAGGAACATGGTCCGACCTTCGTCAATCTCTGGGAACTCCTGACGAACAATGCAGCACGTGGTAACTTGTCTTTCAAGTTGTTTTGCTCGGGTGGGAACGCTTAGCATACTCCTTGGAAGAGGATTCGAAAAAAGGTTGGCGAAAGCAAGATTTCTGTTAATGGCGACATACGATTGTTGAAACGAGCTAAGGAGTTTTTCGAAGTAGAGGGGTGTATTAATGTGAAGCATCTCGTAATTTGGAAACCTCGTTGTCATGTATTGAAGTCAGTACTACAGAGAATTTTGCGTAACCCTCGATTGCTGTCGCAACTGTACTCATGGAGTCTACGGTCGTTACTACGTGTGTATGGAGTCATTAAGGATTTTAGCCGAAAATCTACTCGGAAATACCTTCGTCGCTTGGTCCAGAGAGTTTGTCGAGACCGCTTTAACTTGAGTTTGACTGCTCAGCTGGTTGTCCGTGTTAAGTTCAATAATAGGATTCGTTTGTCTGAGTTAAGGAAACTGATGAATGATTTAGTGATGGAATGTGAGTTACCGACTTGTTTCAAGGCGCGCGCACGGAAGAAGATCCGACTGGTCTGGACTAAGAACCAATCAGTCGGGGATATTTTGCACAATCAGAGGCAGTTTGCCTCTCGAAATGTGCTTACCTGCTGTTGCGTGGGTTTGCCTTTCCAGAGGGAGAAAGGTCACGTGTGTTGTCGCCTGAGCACCCTGTGTAAGTCACAGTCGTTGCTGATGAATGCGAATAACATACCGATTCGGCGTGTCCAAGATAGGACGAACCTGCTTATGCAGGAAATTCAGTCAGGATTTCAATAGTGGAAGAATTATCACGGGCAGGTGATCCCGATTGATCGAGAGGAGGTGGCGAAGTGCTTTGCCCACCAGGATCGGGATTTGGGGGAGTACTTGACAGTGAATGAGGTGCTGAAGATCAAGCGGGACTTGGAAGGGATGGTTTGTACACCATTGGACAGGAACCCTGGGGAGACGCTAATAATGTGTCCTAAGCTGTATTTCGATGCGACGATGTGTACTTTTGTACTGAATGATGGGTATAACATTGTAACGATGGGTGAGAAGTTAGCATTGAATGCAATGAGGGAGGAAGTGAGGTCAGTCGGTTTGTCGAGGATGGTGAGCTGGGACAACAAGGGGCACGTGGGCAATGCCTACGTGTTACCTAAGCAGAAAGATGTATGCAGATTCAGACCAATCTGCCCAACTTTTAGTGAGCCCACGGTCCGAACTGCGAGAGTGGTCGCTAAAGGGCTAAATCATTTGCTGTTCTCATTACCTCGTAACTGACACTTCAACTTGCAAACGGTAGGGCACTTGGTGAGGAGACTGGATTTGGTGAACAGGGCAGCTAGACAGCGACTTAACCTCACACATGTGTCGTCATTGTGTTATGACATTAAGGACATGTTCAGTCGTTTACCACACGACGACATTATGGATGTTGTATATTGGATTACTGAGTACCATAAGAGCAAGGGCCGCGATTTTGTCAGAGTCAACAGAAGGGGGCGGGGTTGTACTTTCGGGGTCACTGCCGGAAGTGATTACTGGAGAAGTATTGAGTTGGATGAGCTGATCACATTTGTTAGGATTGAGCTCACGTATGCAACTGGCGTGTTGTTGAAACAGGAGGTGGTCATCCCGATGGGGAAGAGCACTAGCTCACCCCTTGCGTGTATTTTATGTGCACACGTTGAGTATCGTTTTCTCAGCAGCCTTGGAAGTCTACGAAGAAATGTGTTTGAAGTACGCTTGGTTGATGATGTGGTACTCTTTGTGTTTAACGAAAGGATTGATTTAACTAAGGCAATTGATGGAAGCTTCGCCAAATGTTACCCTGACAATCTTACTCTCAAGCGTACAGACGACGAGACTGATTGCTTTGACTTTCTCGGTTGCCAAGTGAGGATTGATGACGTATTCCCGTATGTGGGCTACGTGCAGATGTCAAAAAATGAGACCTGCATGTGGAAAAACGATACTTTGGAATTCCAGTCTCGTAAGTCGTATCAATCTTGGGGTTGTAAACGACAGAAGAGTGCCATTATCTCTGGCTATCTGCACCGAATTGATGCTAATACCTCGATTCGCTCGGAGATCCCGATGAGAGTGATCAGCCTAAAGAAGGAATTGCGGTTGAAAGGATTCACAAGACGGTTTTTTTCTCAGAGTTCTGTACAGGGCGAGTGCTCTGAGCATCATTTCGCTCATGTCTGACGAATAGGATGGTTGAAGCCTAATATCCGTAATGGTATCGGACTGGGCTCTGAGGATAGGGATCTATTTGTTTGTAATAAGTGTGTAAGGGTCAGGGACCTGTTGTTTGCAGTAGTGTGTAAGGGACAGAGACATGATGATCATTGTAGTAGGAGTATGCACCCGATGTTTGCAGTAATGTAGGAGGAGTAATTCGACTCTGAGG